CTGGAGGATGGTGGAGTCTGAGCCTAAATGTCTCTGTGTCTCAGTTTATTGGATCTGCTTAACCACTTCATTCAACAGGCCCCAGGCCACTGAATCACATTGAGACAGCTCTCTACCATTTTTTATATTCTGGTTCTTGCATCTGACATTTCATCCATACCCACCAGTTCTAAGTCAAACTGCCACCCAATCACCAAATCAGATTCCCTTTGGGTCCCATGCCTTCCAGAAACGTGTTTGGGTTTGCCCTGACTTGCTCCAATTTAATTTCATTGGCTACCATTTATTAGCATCAAGCCTATTTTATGTGCCAGCCACTGGTCATTACGTCAGCCTCAAAACAACACCAGGGGAGTGGTCATGGCAGTATTACTACTTTACAGAAGAAGAAACTGAGGTTGAGAGTGACTCATTGACTTATTTAATCTAGCAAGTTTAAAAACTGAGACTAGACTATAAATTAGTCTGATCCAAAGTTCAGAGTTTTAACTATTTTACCAAACTGCCTCCCACAGGCTGTCCCGTGCTCCCTCTTATTGGCTCATACCTCTGATCCCATGTCCCCATTTTCTCTCCAATGCACTCCGTCAGACCTTGCACAGCTCAGGCAGGAAGTGTGGATGCATCTCCTATGTGGTCTTCTCAGCCTTGGGCCCTCTAGAATGTGTTCTGTCAGAGATGTGGTGCAGTATGGTGGAGAAGAGCTGGGCTCTGGCACTGGACCGACCCAACGCAATCCCAGCATTCTCACTCATCCGCTTCCGTGATCATGCATTAACTCAATGTCTCTAAGTTTCCTCACTGGAAAAATGAAAATTATGATAACATCTGTGTCAAAATTGTTTTCTTTCTTGAGTGTTTAATGTGATGATGTTTGTCCAGTCCTTGGCAGAGTGCCTGGTACATAGTATCAGCTCCATATGTAGCTATGGTCATGTCATTCTTCCCAGAAGGAAACTAGCATCGTGTTTTCTCCTTTTGCCAATGTCATTTATCACAACAGGCACTGAGCACCCCCCACAACTTGGTCCTGGCTTTCTTTTTTATCTTATTCCTTTGTCTTCTAACTTTCCAGCCCACCAAATGGTCTTCTCTGGTTCCTGACCTCTCAGTAGGATGTAGGGAAGAGTGTGTCTTCTGGGATCAGGTGGGCCTGGGTTTGAACCCCATTGTTTCCTCTCACTATCTCTGGGAGCTTGGGTAGTTTCCTTAACATCTCTGTGCCTCAGTGTCCTCATCTAGAAAATGAGGATGAGGTTCTAGTGAGGGTCACACATAGGAAAAAATTATACCTAACACCTAATAGGTGTTTGTTTTTTAATCAAATCCTTTTCCTACTGCCCAATCCCCATGAGAGCCTCCTTTCAGTGGGACAGTTTTCTAGCAGCCCCACCTTCTTCTGAATTCCCTTGTGGATTCCCATCGTGCTTTCTGTCTGTAATCATTCGGAGACCTTGGTTTTGTACTGTTCTTTAACGTTTTCATAGTTCTTCCCGAAAGCAGCCCAATTATTTTGCACAGCTCTGGGAGACAGTCAAGCCCAGTAATGGTTCTCTATTTTCTCAGTGCAAATTGGTAGTTGCAGAATAGCCACAGAGATGCAGACTGCAGCATGGGAAATATAGTCAATAATGTCGAGATGACTGGGTCTGGGGCCAGGTGGGTGCTTGGGGCAGTCGGGGGAACACTCTGTAGAGTGCGTGGTTTCCTGGCCACTTTGCTATTGTACATCTGAAACTAGTGTGGAATGGTATTGAATGCAAACTGTGGTTGAAAAATAATTTTTTTAAAAAGGTAAGCTGAAGCTGTGAGAGATGGAATGACTATTTCACGGTCATGAATGGAGACCTGGAGCTCATTCTGGCTCCTGGTCATCATGCTTTTCTCCCCTGTATCATTCTGCACCTGAATGACTGCCCCTCACCTGAAATCACTGCCCTTTCTAATCTTGCAAATTGTTTTTCCATGGATGCCTGCCTTGTCCCACCAGGGAGGATGTAGTCTGCTCCCTCACCCAAGCCTAGTGCTCTGAGGATATCTGTAATACGGTTGATGTTATTCATGTGTTGAAATGTGAATTAATGTGGTATGTTGCAAGACCATCGTAGAAAACTTACACCTGTATTGACTGGAAGGTTGAACTGGTGCAGTGACATTCATTCAAGGGTAAGAAACCACAAAGGCATCTCACTCCGGAGGCACTTGCTTCTCTGCACATGTGCCTGCTGAATCCTTGGATATTAGGGGAGTTTGGAGTAAGCTGCTCCATCCCCTGTGCTCTGTGTTCTTGTTTCTGTAATAACCCTGACCATGCTTAATTGTAAGTAATCTGCTTATCCATCTGTTTCCCCACCCCTAGACTGTGAGTCCCTCCAGAGCAAGCACCATATCTAATTCCTGTCAGTGTCCACGGCCAGCCACTGCGCTTGGTTAATACTTAATGGAAGTTGAATGAATAAACCAGAAAAACCCATCTGGGCCCATCTCCTAATCCCCCTATGATTGTGCTTGTTCCTGTTCTCTTACCCTGTTCCATATTATCTCTTTCTTATCTCCTATACTAAATTAAAGGCAAGTTGCATGTTTTACTCATTGTTATAGACTCCCTAACAACCAGGAAAGGAGGAAATTATAATTATTGAATGTCTATTGTGTTAGCAGTAGTTATTGCACATATATTATCTCATTTTTTCAAAAACTTAATTTAATTCTTATAATAAGTTGATAAGGTAGACATTATCATTCCTGAATTACAAAAGAGGGAGCTGAGACTCGGGGAGATAAAGTAATTGGAATTTGACCAAGTTTACACAGCTAGAAAGGGGCAATGCCAAGATTTGAATCCCTGTCTGTTGGCTCTAAGACCAGTGCCTTTCTTTTCTGTTGTTGGTTGGTGTTTGTCTCTTAGCGGCATGAGGCATAGCTGAGTGTGTTAGCTCGGTAGGTGTCAGGGACTCTGCTGAACTGAGACTTGAATCTAGTCACGTTGAATCCAGTCTGTACAAGCCTCTCCCAAATGCCCCGAGCACAGATACCGCCACCTCCCATTGGATTGTTTCAATGAACTGCTTTAGGAAATGCGTACTAAGTACTCGCCATGCAGCAGGCACAGTGCTAGGTACTGGGGATGCGGCGCTGAAGGCAGGCTCCATCAGAGGGTTTACAGTCTAGTGGGAAAACAGACATGTAGCAGTGATTATAAACATGATCTGTGCTGGGAGGAGACCAAAGACAAGGGCTAAGTCAGTCTAGGGTGGTCTTAGGAGGTTTCTGGGTAAATCATGAAGGAGGAGTGAGTTGGCCAAGCCAAGAGTAAGGAGCACAGAAGGAACAGCATGTGCTAAGCCACTGAGATACCAAATTGCAGGTAGGGTGGGTCTGGAACAAGAGGGTATTTGGGTGGAACAGAGCATGGAGAACAAGAGATGCTGAAACTGGCCTCCCCGAGTTCACATCACGAACCAAAGGTCAGCGCTGGTTCCTAGCTCTTGCTCGCACACAAGCAGCGCTCTTCGCTTCAACGACCACTGAAGGACATTCTCCCCACTGAGGAAGTGAGTTAGAGAGATAGCTGGCAGCATCTCCATCTGTCTTCTTTAGGGACCTGACAGATAAACACAAGTTTGTATGCCCCTGATGAACAAGCAGCTGGGCAGACCCACCTGGTGACGTCATCTGCCCTCCGCTGGCCAGAAGGCTGGCTCTGTGCCCAAGCTCTCAATGTGCCCCTAGGAGCAGGGACCCTGGGGTCGCAGGTGGCAAATGTAAGCAGGATCAGACCTTGCTAAGAATCACTTCCTTAAGTGATGGGGTGGAGTGGAGAGTTCTGCTCACTCTGGGCAGTGAACTGCAAATGTTAATTGAGTTCAAGTGTTCTCTTCGCTATTAACTTGAGAGTTTATAAACCCCACTGAAGAATGGGAGAGAACTAAGCTAACCCTAGGATGAATTGTATGTAACTTAGTAAAAAAAATATATGTGTCTTTATTCATCATGTGCCAAAAACACCCAGTGTTACACTGGTCTTGACTCTGTTCCTCTCCCTCCTCTCCCTTTAAAAACTGTTTAAGAACTCTTCAAGTTTTAAAAACTCTTCAAGTTAACATCTGTCTTGGTCCCACCAGACCTTATTCTTTCTCCTCTTGTGACAACCATTAATTTTCACCTGGATCCCACGGCAGTGCGTTGGGCACTTCCTTGTATCCCAACCGCCGTCCCATCCTTCACCATGGCTAGCCTGCCTACCCCCGTCCTGGAAGGTACATAAAAGCCAGCTAAAGAAAACAATGCTTCTTCCCAGAACTGCTAAGCCTATTTCGCAATCAAGCCCTTTACCTTTTGCTCCTTGCTGACCTCCCCAGCTCTGCAGTCCCATTTTGCTCCCTCTAATGCATTCTTTGCACTGCTGCCTGGATGATTTATCTGAAATTCAAATGTGATCATGTTATTCCCTACTCAGAACCGTTCAGTGGTTTTCAACCCTTTCAAATGACATCCAAACTCCTGAAGTATTTAGAACAAAGCCATCCATGAGCAGGCTTCTTCCTAGCTCCCTCGCATTATCTCTTACCTCTTCCCTTGACAGTTTGTGACACAGCAATGCTAAATTATTTATGGTTCCCCAAACACACAATGTTATTTAATGTTTCTCGGGCTGCCAGAAATAGCCTTTCCTCTCTATTCTGTCTTACAAATTTGATCAGTCTTTAAAATTCTCTCAGCTATTCCCGTCTCTGAAGCCCTTTGAAACGGAAGTCATCATTCTGGGCTGTCTCCGTGTCTGGTTCAGGCATCTACCATCGCCCTGTTGCATGTTCCCGAGACTTATTTGTTTATAGAGACTGTCTTATTCGTCACTGAATAGCACAGGGCCTGCCACTAGCAGGTGCACAGCCAGCTCTGGTTGAATCATTGTCCAATTACACCTCTTCCCCATCACAGAAGGCCTGGAGTTTTAGCCACAGTCACACTGATACCTGTTACCTGATTGACTTTCCCAGGTCGGGCCAATCACTGGTCTGCGATCATTGGCGGATCCCACTCCAAGAACTACGTGCTGTGGGAGTACGGAGGGTATGCCAGCGAAGGCGTGAAGCAAGTGGCAGAATTGGGCTCACCAGTAAAAATGGAGGAAGAAATTCGACAACAGGTAAGAAAAACAATCACAGAATAACCCCAAACCAGAAATGTAGTCAGAGCATTCTTTAGATTTCGTTTCCAGGAGCTTGAAATGTATAGTACAATGTGCGGGGAAATCGGTACCATAGGAAGCAAAATCTATTTGCCGAGTCTGGAAGGTTTGGATTAGGTTGGGGACAGAGGCACCAGTGCCCATCTCGTCATCATTCCTGGGCCGCATTTGTGTTTTCTTCAGTGTGTGCTGGAAGCTGCTGCTGTGGCCACATTGTTGGGACACCACGTCTCTGGTTTCCTGAGCGTCAACATGGTGGCTTAGGATTCGCCTACTGTGATCCTTGAGAGGGTTATGGAGTGACAACCACGTTTTCTCAGCCAGAATTACCATTTTCAAAGATAAACATTTGTATAGCAGCGCACGCTCTTGCGACTATGTCTTGAGGTGTTTGATACATTAGTTGGTCATTAGTCATAATCATTAGAGACGGAAGCATGTTTTAGGTGCCCTGTAACATGGTATGCGGGCCCAAGAGCTATACTATCATCTAGGTACCCACTCTAACCACTGAGAGACAAAGGAGGAATAGCTTGTCATTGCGATGAGGAATCTTGGGAGAAGAGCTGTGGTTTTTCTATGGCCATTCACAGGCTGCCCTGTGGAAAGGAGATGGTCCAACTTTGGCCATCACCACCCACAAAAGCCCTTTGGGCCGAAGTGAGCTCAGTGTCAGTGGGCAACCACATCTCACTGCCCACAGGGCTCAGAGAAAACAAGGAAACAGCAAACTGCTCTTGGAATGTGGTCATTTCACAACACAGGTCACTGGGAGGCTGCCCCATGTCTCCTGAGACCATGCAGGAGGCCCCGCAGACACGGTGCCCATCTCACGATGCGCATGCGCCCAGAGACCTGAGCAGCTCAGGAGAGTGAGCACAGCTGAGGCGCGTCCCCTTGAAGTCACACATCTGGACTCTAGCCCCACAAGCCCCCAGTTGAATACAACGAAGGTCACCCTGACTCCTGCTATAATCCCCTGAGATACCCTTTCAGAGCAAAGTCCCAAAGTGCCCAGGAACTAGCTTGTGTTTCTTATTAATTTGAATCAAAATCTTTTCTCCGATCTTAGGGGAAAAGGTGTTTAAACAGACACTTTAAGACTGCATGCTCTACATCAAAAGTCTATCTGACCAGCTGCCTAGTGTTTCTCTCATTCTGGTTGTCAGACCTCCTAACTGGCATCACTCAGTCAGGCTATAGCGCTGCCGGCACATCTGTGAAATCAGGGAGGGCTCCATGTTGGTCTTAGTCTGCTTGACTCATCATGGGGAGGGGATCCCTCGTTTGGGATCCTGGGGTCCATGTTTCTAGTTCTCAAGCTTGGAATTGTGATATGCTGGCTTGTCGAGTTCTGTTGTGTGGTGTGGTGAAATGTTACAAATGATGCTTGAAATACTAAAGTTTGCAAATAAATGAGACCCAGGACAAGGGCATCTTCACAGTAATGCCAGTCTTACTTGGTGGCGATCTCGAGAGGTTTCTGGAAAAGAAGGAAGCATGCAGGAACTGTGAGAAACCGAGAGCATGTTGTGCTGGTGAACATCATCTGTCACATGTCAGAGCAGTAAAAAGGTAGATAACTGATGGTGGGACCCTCTGCCTTAGAATGGCCACCTCAGGAAAGCCTTCTTTGCTTGGGGTGTTCTTAACCAGCACACGTGGCGTTAGCTTCTGCACCACCGGGCAATGTCTGCTCATCCCATCTGGCTAATGTTCCTGACATTAAGTCATAGCAATACGTTTAATTATGCACAAGACATTAAAAAGCCCACTGAGCATGTCTCCGGGTCTGTCGCCACCCACTGTGTACTGGACCTCTACGTGTAGCTCTCATTTCTATTTGAGAAGACAATATATTATCCGTTTTGCAGATAAAGAAGCTGAGGCAGTCAGTAGCTAGAGAATTCCAGAACTTGAACCCAGGTCTGTTTGGCTCCAACCCTGGACACAGCACCAGATATTTGCAGGTCCTTGGGAAAGTGTCAGTTGCCTTGTTCAAAACTTGCTAAGTGTTTCGAGATGGCGATGCTGTGAATTTTAGAGCAAGGGGCCGGAGCGTCTGTGGTCACACAGCCATGAAGCTGGCCCTGCCCACCCAGCTTCCCTGACCCTCACAACTGCCCAGCAGAGAACCCCTCTCTCCAGCCTCTGAAATAATCCCTGTTTCCAGAGCCCCACCAACCATGCTTCAAACTCCCCCACTCCTTGGAAAGCCAGTTGGGTAGAGTGATTTCGGGGCCTCTGCACTTCCAAACAGTTCATGGTTCTAACTATTGTTCCTGCAACCACCCAGTTTATTATATTTCTAAGTGAAGTAAGAGACAACCTAAAAAGGAGCCACAATGTGACTCCTCCTAAAATATAAACTTGTCCTCTGAATAACCAGGGAATTTGTTTGAACACATCTACAAACTAACACAGTGTTCTCAGCCTTTAATACTTTATATCCTACCAATCACTCTATCAGAGAACCCAAGTCCAGCCAGGATGAAAAGAAAAAGCTCTCTATTCCCAAGAAAGACAATCATAAGCTTCCCAGGATTCTCTTATTATAGACTTAGTGCTCACTGCAAGTTTCAAGGGCATTGACAATCACACTAGATGTTGTTGGAGATAAATCTTATGCTAATGGCTTTCAAACAAATGAACAAACTAATATTCCCATTAGTAGTGGAAAATGGTAATAGTATCATTGAGTAAATGTTTTAATGTTCATATAGCTACAAAACACCAAGAAAATTAATAATAATAATTAAAAAAAAACTACAGCAGCATAACTGGCAATAATGATGCTGGTGGCTGGAGAATGGGGGAAGAGCTCAGTGCGCACTTCTTAGTGCGGAGACAGAGGCAAGCGTGTCGCCGTGGGGGCTGTGCGATAGCCTGGTGGGTCACAGATGGGTGACGCATGCAAGGCAGGTGGTGGCAGGAAGAAGTGGTGGTTCACACTTGTAGGTAGACCTGGGGACAGAAAGTGAGCTGACGTATCCTCACGGTAATGAAAACGTTACACCGAGACCATTTCTACTTCATCAAGTGGGCACTTACGGCACAGGCACTGCGTGTTTGCTTTTCTGCTGGCTGCTGGCCCAAACCTGGAGCGCGCTCACCAGGTTATTCTTACTGAAAACCTAAGCATCGCTCTTGATTCCACCCCCTGCCCCAGCTCCTGCCTTCTCTCTTAAATGCATGCAGCTAGCTCCCTTGTCTGCCCTGCTCAGTGGAAGCCATCTTCCTCTCTGGCTTAAATTCTTACACGGGCCTCCTGATCTCCCTGCTTCCGACCCTCCACCCATATCCACACTGCCCCAGGGCCATGTCATAGAATATGAATCAGTCTATTAATTTATTTAGTCAATAAATGTACTGAACACCTATTGAATGCCAGTCATTCAAGTTGATGTGATTAGTTCATTTCCTACCTCCATGGAGTCTACATTCTAACAGGGGAGACAACGAAAAAAAGTAAGAAATTGTACATCATCCGTGAAAAGAAACCAGTGGTGACATAAAGAACAGCGGTAGAGAGGGACCTTTTGAGGTAAGGTGGGCAGGGAAACTCTTCCGGAGGAGTGACCATTAAGCTGAGACCCCAAAGAAAAGCATAAGGAAAAGACCATTCTAGCTGAGGACAGCAGGGTGGACGAAGACCCTGAAGCAAAACAAGCTTTGAGCGCTGAGAAAAGACTGGTGTGGCAGGAGGGGAGGGAGGAGGCCGGTGTGGCAGGAGGGGAGGGAGGAGGCCGGTGTGGCAGGAGGGGAGGGAGGAGGCCGGTGTGGCAGGAGGGGAGGGAGGAGGCCGGTGTGGCAGGAGGGGAGGGAGGAGGCCGGTGTGGCAGGAGGGGAGGGAGGAGGCTGGTGTGGCAGGAGGGGAGGGAGGAGGCTGGTGTGGCAGGAGAGGAGGGAGGAGGCTGGTGTGGCAGGAGGGGAGGGAGGAGGCTGGTGGCAGGAGGGGAGGGAGGAGGCTGGTGTGGCAGGAGGGGAGAGTGAGCGCAGGGTGGCACAGCATGAGACCGGAGAGTTGATTGGGGGACCGCTCTAGCTCCACGCTGGAGATAGTCACAGATTAAAGAGACAGATGCCTAGGTAACTATCATAAATTATAAAGTTTCTTTAGGAGCATCTCCGCATCAACTGGGGAACAGCAGACACTGGACTGTGACAGTTCTTGAAATGCTCCCAAGCAGGGACACCCCCTGGAAGGCACGTACCTGTTGGCTTTCCTCGTGGCCTCTATTCATACTCATTCTATTGTTTCATTATGGTTGCTTTTACCTCTTCAGTGTTAAACATGTCTAATTGCCTCCTATGGATTATTCTATTATCTCAGGGTCTGAAGGACTAATGTTCCTTTGAATTGAACTTGCTTGCTCTCTCCCCATCACTAGTTTTCTCATTTGGTTTTGGATTGTTTTCTCATCTTTAGTGGTGGTGTTCTTTTTTTTCCAGCGGGATTCCTCTGTGCTCAAGTTGTGGTGTCTCCTTAGGGTGACACTATAACACCGTCTTGTCCGCCTGAGTTTGTATGTCATTTATCAGTTTGGAATTCCCCACTGCAAGGCCAGTGTAACTGGATTCTGCGCTCATACAGGAGAGAGGCTAGGGATCCAGTTTTGTTTTTTGTTTTTTACTTTTGATTTTTTATTTTTTTTATTAATTAATTTATTTTTGTTACAGATGTTTCTCCTTTTTCCCCCACTGATTTCTCACTCCACCTCCCTCCCTGCCCTGTCCCCAGCTTTGTTGTCCATGTCCATTGTTCATGCATACATGCATATAAGTTCTATGGTTTATCTCTCCACCACCACTCCCTCTTCTGGGAATTGTCAGTCTATACCCCACTTTCACGTCTCTGGGACTACCCCATTACTCAGACTGTTATGTTCATTATATTCCACAAATAAGTGAAATCATATGATACTTGTCTTTCTCTGTTTGGCTTGTTTTGCTTAGGA